CGCGGGCGGGGCGCAGGCGCGGGGCGTCGGGAGCGGGAGGAGGGCCGAGCGCCGCGCCACTCCCGTGGCAGCCCCCCCTTCTTGCTTCCAGATGATTCCATGATGTGACGTCGATCGAGGGCCCATGCGGATGGCTGCGGCCGCCGCCTGCCTCTGCGTGCGTGCGTGCGTGCGTGCGTGCATCTGCGGTGTGTGCACGTGCGCCTGCGTGCGTGCCGGCCCCGGGCCCGGTCCCTGCGCTGCTGGGCGCGAGGCTGGCGCTCCACCCCTTGAGCCACGGCGCCACTTTCGGCTTTTCGCTGGTTCTCCCGGGCTTTCCTGCCCGCGCCGGCCTCGGCCCGCGAGCCTCGGCCCGCAGCCTCCCGAGTCGCGGGGGTGGCCCGCGTGCGCACCGGCGCCTGCCTGTCGTTAGCAGGGTGCCGTGAGACTTGCGTTTATGGTTTTTCTTTCCCGCGTGCTGGGGAATGAAATCCCGCGCCCCACACCTGCTAGACACGCGCTTTCCCACTGACCCCGCCCAGCCCATCTTCTTTTCCTTCGTTATTCGCTTGTCCTGTTAGTGTCTTGGGGGTAGTGTCAAGCAGCCTAGGCTGGCCTCCACCTTGGGATCTTTTGTGCCTGCCCCTCATGGCTATATATATATATATATGTTATATATATGTTGATATGTATATATTGGTCAATACCGGGCTCTGAACTCAGTTTCCCTCACTTGTGTGGCAGGTAGATGTTCTACCACTTGTGCCAAACCGCTCTCTCCTCCCTTTTTTTTAGCTTTCACTTTTTGGGAGCTTTTTTTTTCTTCTGGGTTGGCACACACCAGGTAGCTGGGACTACAGGTGTGGCCCCTACCACTGTACCTAGCTTTTGGTTGACATGAGGTTTTAGACATGAGCCAGCCTGCCTGGCTGCCACCTTTTGTCTCTCTAAAGTTGTTCTCTTTAGAGGAGGTGTGGTACCACAGATGACATCTCCAACTCTGTTATGTGCTGGTTCTTTGTCAGGTGTGGGGCTTGAACTCAGGGCCTGGGCGCTGTTCCTGAGCTCTTTTGCTCAAGGGACATATTGAGCCACAGTGCTGTTTCTGGCTTTCCGGTGGTTCATGGGAGATCAGCATCTCACGGCCTTTCCTGCCCAGGCTGGCTTCGAACCGAGATCCTCAGATCTCAGCCTCCTGAGCAGCTGGGGTGACAGGCGGGCCCCCGGTGCCCGGCTGTGCTGCTTGGTTTTGCTCGGGTTTCTAACACGCTCTGTGTGTTTGAGGATTCCTCTCACGGCTGCGGGCACGCCGCCAGTTGCTTTTTTTTTTGTTGCCGGTCCTGGCGTTTGAACTCGGGGCCTGGGCACTGCCTCGAGCCTCCCTGTGCCCAAGGCTGGCGCTCGACCACTCGAGTCCGAGCCACTTCCGGTTTTTTCCGTGTAGTGGTCCTGTGGGGTCGAACCCGGGGCCTCATGCGTGCGAGGCGATCCAGCTTCTTTAGGTGACAGGTTCTTCCCCACGGTGGATCCATCCTCCCCAGCAGCGGGGGTGGCGGGTGTGAGCCGCTGGCACCTGATTGGCTGCGCCGCAGTCGCCCCGCCCCTTCCCAGCCAATCCCATCTGGTGTTGGGAGCGCGCCCCTGCCCCAGACCTGATGCGCATGCGTGGGGGGGCAGTTACCTGTCCCTCCAGCCTCACCTAGCGCGGCCTCGCGGCCCCGAGAAACTCCAGCAAGTCCCAGATTCTACAGAGCAGCGGGAGCCGGGGCCGCCGTCACCCCGGGGACTCAGCAGTGAGCCCCGAGCATCGCGGCTCACAGCCTCTCATCTCCCTCGAACCAGCAGAGAGCCGGAGGTGGCGCCGAGGCTCCGGTGGTGGAGCGCCGGCCTGGAGCTGCGGGCAGCGCCCGGGCCGGAGTCCACGCCCCAGCCTTGGCCCGCGCCCCGCAGCGTCGCCCCCCCCCCACCGCGTGGCTTAACGCCCTCATCCGGGTCCCTTGTCCAGGCGGGGAAGACGTACGAGCTGCTCAACTGCGACAAGCACAAGTCGGTGCTGCTCAAGAATGGCCGGGACCCGGGCGAAGTGAGGCCGGACATCGCCCACCAGGTACCGGGGGTGGAGCCTGGCGAGGCCCCGCCCCGCGCACAGCTCCGCCCCTGAGCGTGTGCACAGCCCCGCCCCCACGCACAGCCTGGCGAGGCCCCGCCCCGCGCACAGCTCCGCCCCTGAGCGTGTGCACAGTCTAGCGAGGCTCCGCCCCGCGCACAGCCCCGCCCCGCGCACAGCTCCGCCCCTGAGCGTGTGCACAGCCCCGCCCCCACGCACAGCTCCGCCCCTGAGTGTGTGCACAGCCTAGCGAGGCTCCGCCCCACGCACAGCTCCGCCTGTGTGTGCACAGCCCCGCCCCCACGCACAGCCTGGCGAGGCCCCGCCCCACGCACAGCTCCGCCCCTGAGCGTGTGCACAGCCTAGCGAGGCCCCGCCCCACGCACAGCTCTGCCCCTGAGCGTGTGCACAGCCTAGCGAGGCTCCGCCCCGCGCACAGCCCGCCCCCACGCACAGCCCCGCCCCCGAGCGTGTGCACGGCCCCGCCCTCAAGAACAGCCTGGCGAGGCCCCGCCTCCCAGCGTATACGCTGGCGCGCAATCGCAATCTACCATGGGGGGGCGGTCCCGCGCATGCGCAGGCCGCCCCGTCCTGAGGCGCCTGCCCGCCCTCCCCAGAGCCTGCTGATGCTGATGGACAGCCCTCTGAACCGCGCGGGGCTGCTGCAGGTGTACATCCACACGCGGAAGAACGTGCTGATCGAGGTGAACCCCCAGACGCGGATCCCCAGGACCTTCGACCGCTTCTGCGGCCTCATGGGTGAGAGGCCGCTGCGGGAGGGCCGGGCGGGTGTGTGCGGCCCGGCGGGCTGCACGCGGCGGGGCGCCCGCGTTGCTCCCGGTGGCGCTCCGGCCGCGGCCCCGGTGCAGCCGAGAGCACCGCCCTGCCCGCACCGCGGCCCCTGACCCGCCGACCCGCCTCCTCCCCCAGTCCAGCTTCTGCACAAACTCAGCGTCCGCGCGGCCGACGGCCCCCAGAAGCTCCTCAAGGTGCGGGGCGGGGCTGCCCGGGGGCGGGGCCTGCCCGGGGGCAGAGTCTGACGGGGCGGGGACGGGGCCTGCCCAGGGGCGGGGCCTGGGGAGCCTGGCCGGGGGCGGAGTCTGATGGGGCGGGGGCGGGGCATGCCCGGGGGCGGAGTCTGACGGGGCGGGGCCGGGAGTCCGGGGCGCTGACCCTGCCCCGCGCCCCCAGGTGATCAAGAACCCCGTGTCCGATCACTTCCCCGCGGGCTGCGTGAAGGTGGCCACGTCCTTCTCGGCGCCCGTCAGCGACGTGCGGGAGCTGGTGCCCGGCGCCGACCCCATCGTGTTCGTGGTGGGCGCCTTCGCCCACGGCCAGGTAACCGCGGCGCCGGCCCTGGGGCCCCGGGGAGGCCGTGCGCGCGGGGCCGTCATCGTCATGCGGGGCTCTGCGTCCGCAGGTGGACGTGGACTACACGGAGCGGACGGTGTCCCTGAGCAACTACCCGCTGTCTGCGGCCCTGACCTGCGCCAAGCTCACCACGGCCTTCGAAGAGGCGTGGGGGGTGCTGTGACGGCGGGACCCCGGATCCTGCCCCCCTGCTCCCCCACCCCCCGCTGTACACGGCTGTCTATATTAAACGGTCTTTTTGTAAGTCTCGTATCGAGTCTTGAACAGCTCCTCTGAGGGCCGCTGCAGCCCCGGGCTGGCTTTGAACCGCGATCCTCAGCGCTCGGCCTCCCGAGTGGCCGGGATGACCGGCGTGCGCTACAGTGCCCACCCACACCCGGCATTTGGGGGGAGGCGTCCTGTCTGGAGCCACGTCTGGTGCTCTAAGCGTTGTGGGGTTCCCCCCCATCCTCAGCGGGAAAGAAGGCAGGCGGGGATGCAGGCAGTGGAAAAACGGAACACACAGAAGTGAGTTTTATCCGGTAGAGTTCCGATAGAAAAGGCGGCGCGGACGGGGCCCCCAGAGCCCTCCCCTCCCCCCGGGGGGCGGCCGCGCTCAGCTCGGAGATTGGCAGAAGAATACAACAGCTTCCTGGCTAGTGGGGGGAGAGATAAGGCAACGTGCATGGGGGAGCCCGAAGAGGGGGTGCGGCCCCGGCTCCTCCCACGAGAGCTTCCCCACTGGCCGGGGACACTCGCTGGCAGAGACGCTGCTCCCGGCTCCTTAGGACTCTGTGCTCTGGGCCTAGGGAGGGCCGTGGAGGAAACAGATTTCTGCACCATTCCTGCCGTAGGCCACCTAGGGGACAGTGAGGGGTGGGTTGCGAGGCAGTCCCATGGGGGGGTCCCAGTGGCTAGCCGCCACCTCATTGCGAGTGTGCGCCGGGCTGCGCTGCGGCGGCCTGTAGTCGCCATACTCACCCGGGGGGAATTGGCTATTCCATTCTTTTCAACTTCTCTTTCCGTGGTACCAAGGCTCTGCGCATGTAAGGCAGGATGAACAGGAGGCTCAAGAAGAAGACGTGTCCGATGAAGTAGACGGATCTGTACACCTGCAGGGAGAGGAGGCCGCTGAGCCGGGCCCCGGGGAGGCCCCGCCCGGGGAGGCCCCGGCTCTCTGCGCAGCAGCCTGACCTTCAGCCATTTGTCCCAGGTGAAGAGGCAGAAGGCGGTCATGGAGTAACCCAGGAAGAGCCAGTGGATGGTTTGCTGGATCAGGTAGAAGAGCGGCTGCAGGGCCGGGACGGAGGCCAGGCCGCTCAGCGCTGGGCTGTCTCGGATGAGGTTGGCGGCCTGCAGAGGAAAAGCCAAGGCCTGGAGATGGCAAGGGTGCCGGGCGCGGTGGCTCACGCCTGCAGTCCCAGCTACTCGGGAGATGGAAATAGGAGGATCGTGGTTCAAAGAGACCGGGAACAGCGTCCAGGCCCTGAGTTCAAGGCCCACGACTGAGAAAAGGGAAAAAAGATCACCAAAGTGCACCTGCTCCCCTCCCCGCGGCCAGCACCCCGGGGCGCACCTGCTTCTCCACCACCACGATGAGAAACTCCATCTGGAAGCACATGAGGTAGCCCGAGTGCAGCCCGTGCCACAGCGCCAGGAAGAGCAGCGACAGCGCCTGCGACAGCTCCTTGCTCCCCAGGAACTTGAGGCGCTTGAAGAAGTAGCTGGGGGTGGGGGGAGACACAGGGCTGAGCTGACAGCCGGACAAGCGCTGGGCCCTGGGATTAGAAGCTAGGCCTGTGTGCGCGCGCGTGCGTGCGTCTGTCCAGCCCAGGACTTGAACTCGGGGCCTGAGCACCGTCCCTGAGACTTTCTTCCTCGAGGCTGGCGCTCTGCCCCTTGAGCCACAGCGCTCCTTCCGGCTTTTTGGTGGAAATGGAGGCGAGAGTCTCACAGACTTTCCTGCCAGGCCTCAAACTGCGATCCTCCGACCTCAGCCTCCTGGGCAGCTGGGACCCCAGGCGGGAGCACCGGGCCGGTCCCCGGGCGCCCGCGGGGTGACAGGCCTGCGCTGGGGGCCGGGACGGGGCTGGGGGTGTCCGCGCGGGCCGGAGTGGGGGTGGGGTGGGGTGGGGGACCCCCGCCCCGCTCACCGGGCCACCCAGGCGTTGGTGTTGATGTTGAAGGAGGCGATGGTGCCGGTGAAGCGGGGGTTGGTCTCGAACATCCACACCTTCATGTTGGCGCACGCGTCCCACTCGGCTCTCCCATCCTCGCCGAAGCCGTTGAAGCCGAGCCCCGTGAGGATGCACACGCCTTCCTGCGGCCGACGCCGGGGGTTCGCCGGGGGTTCGCGCTGCACCGCCTCCCGGG